ATTATTACGATGTTCTTAATTCATGGCCATGATTTAATTAAGCTAAACCTAGTTGACATAATGACTACAATATGTAAATCTAGCCAGCACATTAATTAAATTAGGAATAACATTAACAATATCTTTTAACTATGCTGCAAATTATTGTATCTTTATCTTAAATGTATCAATTTCCTCAAAATAACCATTTTTGCGCCATGGTTGGGCCATAGGGTGTACTCAACGGGAAGCCCTCTAAGGTCTCATAAGCTAACCTCTTCCCGAGTGCCTGTCTACCTCGACAGTCTGAGAGGAGTGCTGCAGAGGACACCAACACAACTGAGCGTCACAGATGTATGCCGATGTATGCCGGACCATGTAATGTGTTTGTGAGTGTCCTGCTCCTGTTCTTACAACATCTACTGTATAAACTGCATGCTGGTGCTACTCGTGTATGGACCAATGTATAATGGCTTGCTGTTCAGTAGTGCTATAATAGTATACTTAAATGAACTGTTTTTTCACAGGCCATCATATATGCCCTGGCTGTCCTCCGGAATTTCTCATTCTTGAATCATTCTTGAGTCTTGTGTCTTGCCTCTCTACAAACTTTTAAATATCTGGCTGTAATTTAGTGACTGCAAATGCTGATTTCATTTGATTCCATCTTTATTATACCTGATAATGAGCTAGTTCAACTTAAGGGGGCTAATCAATATACAGTATATTTCAAGAAACTAAGACTTAAGGTACTCCACTTTTTCAGTTGTTTAAAGACTGAAATACATTTTTCATTTATATTTTAAGTGTAAATTCATTTAAATGTAAAATTGTTAACTCAAAGCAGGTATTACACACTTTGTAATTAACATCTGATGCATTTATAAATCAAAAATCACAATTGAAATAAAAATGTACAACATGTACAAACATTACTACAAACTAAACCACCAGGTTCCTAGAACTGCGGTCCTGAAACTGCAGCCTCCGGTTGTGCAGAAACACCCTTCTCGTTACATTAGCTCTGCTTGGACATTCTCGTAAGTAGTAGTTGTTGTTTTTTTTTGCTAATGTTTCTGTTGTTAAGTGTTCTGTAGCATAGAATGTTTTTTGCATCCTTTTAAGTACTATTCTGCTGTTTTGGATTGAGTACCATGTCTTTATTTTTTAGTAGATTGCGAGGTAACGTTAACGTTGGTCACTGAAGAAGTGCCTGTGACAAACCAGGACCAAACAACGCAAAGTGAAGGTAAAACACATTTACAATCTTAAAACAACGAGTTATAACTCACCAAGTGAACTTTCTGGTAATCCTTACTTTGAAATTCATCTGTAATACCATGTAGCCACTAGATGCCTCTATAGCTCTCTACAGTATATTATACAAGGATAAGCATCCTGTAGTTTCTGAGAACAGTGTTGTCAAACACAATGAATTACTTAATGTTTTAGGTATTGATTTTGTATTTATGTTTAGACTAATTTTCTCCTGGGTGGGGGGCATGCCCCCGGACCCCTCTAGAGGGATACAAGTCCACCAACCACTGGCTCACTAAATCTTACGTGAGCATGATGTAAGCCGCAGCCTCAGATGTTGCCAAATCCTACAAAAACCCCTGATCATAAACAAGCAATATTGGATGTGTGTCAATATAATGGATTTGTGCATTTATTGCATTAATAATGTCACTCGCGGCTCTTAATTAAGTAACTTTTTGCTTTAATAGGTATTTGTGTATATGTTGTGTATATGTAGCAGTTAGACTGTTTAATTGCAATAACAATACTGTGTAGTATGGTTGTATGTTTTTCTTTGTTTATTGTATTGTGGTTGGTCTTGTGGAGTATTCAGTAACATGTGAATTCCCCCAGTGTGGGATTAATAAAGTCTATCAAATCAAATCAAATCAAATCAAATGTTACAGGTACCGGGCAGTCAGGAAGACTGTAAGCAGTAATCAACTTAGCAGTAAATGAGAGAGACAAGAGTTAGTGGTTGCTTTCATGAGGATGCGCTGCAGTCATCACGGTAACTCAACTCTCACAACTGACACCCAACTGTTCAGTGTAAACTCATTATAATACATTTAAGTAATTTAAATAAAACTTACATATACATATACATAGAAATGAACATAAATAAAAATATATACAAATAATTTAATTTGTGACCAAACTATATGTGGGGTGGTCACATATATTTACTGGAGAAGGCGGTACATGGACTTGGTAAGCAGTTTGACAACATCATTACAGTAAATATTGTAGTAAATACATAGTAAATGTATGTATTTAAAATAGTAAATGTAGTAAATAGTAAATAATGTTGGTGCATCAAAAATTGTGTGGACATTTCACTTCATTTGTAGGGACGTTCCAAACGAACGTGCCTTCACGAAGGGCCCTTCCAGAACGACGGCCACGTCACGGAAGTGATTTCCGTTTGTGATCATGTGCTCTTCGGTTAGGAGATCTTGTGATGCTTTTTAAAGCAAAGTTGGGGTTGATTTTGAGTTCACATACAAACATAAGTAGAATAGGCCAATTAAATTTGTCTATTTTAATGTAAGACTAAATATTTTTTTGTCAGTGATAGAAATATGATTTAAGATGGTAGTAAGTTTAGTTTGAAAAAGTTTAAAAGTAAATAAGACACAATTAGACAATATTTGAATAAAATAATAAGAATAAG